AAATGCTATATCTATCTACAGTATATTATGCAGGTCTATTACAATGTTTTCCTTCATCATGTTTTATGAAAAACAAGTTAAAATGTTACTGACTCATTAAAGTTTCTTCGCTATAATTCTCGCATTATAACTCCCAATTTAACATAACATAACGATTCTTACTAAAGTAACATACAAAATAATAATAAAGAAAAATAACAAAAAAAGGAAATAAAAAAGAAATAAGGTACTTTTCAAGTGTGTAACTTGTAACAGTCTCTTGCTCAGCTGATGCTGTGGAGTAGACGTGTTCCACAGCGCTGGTCATTGTGCCAGAGACCACAACAGTTAGTTTGCGCCTCAGACGCAAAAGAAGATACATAATGTAGTGAAGATACATGTTAATCGTAAAAAAAATTACAGTGTAAGTAAAGAAGTCTTGGAAGATTCGTGTGTAAAAGTATATACTTATATAAGTAATAGATAAATAAATATTTCTGGGCGGATTTAGAACTAGATTTCGTGGTTTGACTAAATTTGCAAGTCGGATCAACTCGTTATATTTTTATATATCAATTATGACTAACGATTAAAAAAATCGAAATCACCTAGCCGTGTACTGTCAAGTTCGATTTATGGTTTCAATTATTATTTAATTGCGCAAGAACCCTCTATACAAGACACCTGCGTTTGCAATTTTCCCTTCATTATGTATGTATAGGACGTTACACTCTTTGTTATTAACGCTTAGGTCTGTTTCTTAGTAAAAGCTCAATGCTCATTGGTTGTCATAAATGCAGCGAAAGTTTAATGACTAGTTGAAATACTATACAGCTATCAGTTTGACGTAGGAATTGTCTCTCTCTCAGAGGAGTTGTTCGGATTCACCTGCAGCTGAGTTTCATCATCGGACGAAGCAGAATACGAAATTCCACCCGTAACACCTTGACTTCCGTCGTTTCACAAGTGAGCGTTTTTAAGGCAGTATTGCCTTCACATTCACTATGTGAAACCAGCTGCCCACTGAAGTATTGCCGACCCAATTCGACTTAGAGTCCTTCAAGAAAATATCGTAGTAATGATTAAAACACTCACGAGCCTTCTGGGATTGCGAGTGTCCATGGGCGGCGGTATCACTTGACAGATGAGCCTCCTGCCTGTTTGCCCCCTGTTCTATAAAAAAATCTAAATTCTTCATTTGATGCTGAATTTTATGTGTCAAAATCTTAGGTTAACATTACATTTATTCCCCTTTTAAATTTTTATATTTAAAGTTTCTACTAAATACTAAGAAATGCTCTTTCGTTATAAGCAGTCTCTTCCTGGCTAAATATACCTTATATATAAACTAATCTAGTTGAATTATTGGAACAAAAGTCCATATACGTCTCTCTCATTAAAAATATGTTTTTGCTTTAATGAAAAGAGACGGGAGAAATTTAAATACGAGTACATATACATATTTCTTAAAACATTTAAATTTTATTATTTGTTGAGGCGGGTCGGTAGGCTTTGCGGGCCCCAAATTATGACCAATTCAAGATAATAGAGATGTTATCAGACCTATTTATCGGCCTCTTACGATAAGTACTAAAAAACAATGACTTCACTATAATTAGCTTTTCGTCGCGTCATATGTTGTTTAAACAATTTTTTTTTTTATTTCTTTAAGACCAACTCCAAAATTCACCAAAAAGTATTTACTAACAATTTCTTTATTGTATTTAAAAAAACAGGCGCTTCAACGTCTTAGGTCTAGGGCCGCAGATTACTTTATCTGTTTGTTACCATTTCTCTTAATAGACAAGAAGGTGACACACCGCGCCGGGGATTTAGTCTATGACGATTTTTTCCTTCACTGTACGAGCGACTGTTAAATGCGTACATTGAAAAAGTGCATGATCTCAGGATTTAGAGGCACACGCTGAAGCCTCTACCCACCACTGACCTACTGTTTTGTATTACAAAGAGAGTTATTGTATTAATCGATAGTAAATTTATTTATAAACAACCTCAGAAGAACCTATTAGTCTAATTTTTGGAGTTCAGTGCCACGTTTACTGTCATAAACTTTTTACATATATACTTTATCCCCAAAGAACCAAGAAATATGTCAAAGCAATGTCATTAGGGTAGTGACATAATCTATTAATTGGAGAGTGTCTGCCAACGTATGTTCGACGATGTGGGATGTGAAAACCTCTTCGATTGCACAAACAACACGTATTGAACATGACATTAAAAAAAAAACAAAATATTTCTGGAGCTACATGTTTGTTATATGTATATTCCTCTCATTAATAAGGATTAGTTTAAAAATACATTAATAACATTTATATTGAAAAGTAATTATTCTCAAATTGCCCAATTAATCAGTTCGAATACACAAAAGTTATAAATATTACGGCCACAAAATTTCAAGGCGCAGTCATTTTTATTTTTTCTTCTCGAATAGATTCATCACAGAAGGCGGCCGTCTGACACGACAAAAACTGTTTGAAAAACACTTTTTTAAAATGTAAAGTGTCTGGGGTTTTTTTAATGCTTGTGGTTTAAGTTAAAGGCGATTTGGTTGGATATTTATTAATATATAAAGTAAAATTACAAGTTAAAAATAAAAAAAAAATTACTAGTTGCCAAAAAGTAGTTTTATGTGCAGAAGAATGGGCAAGAAACTTAATACTTACTCTTTTAAAATAGTTTAATATAGAAATAAATCGAGAGAAATATACTATAACTAAATGCGCTATTAAATGGTATTAAGATTGTCAAGTCAAAGTCTGTCTTTTGGAAGGGGCAACTAGAGCCATATTTTTATCTTTTAATTATGACTTTCAAAACTGCCTTTTTAATAGGCCTAATTGAAATAAATGATTTGACTTCACTTGACTTGACCATGTCAATATGTTTATCATTAGTTCACGACCTGCGACGGAGTGAAGGGCTCCTTCAAATTCTTCCACTTGTCTCTCATCCTCTCCATCATTTTCCAATCTTTCCCCCGCTATTAAATTGACTTTGTGATAGCTGAGATGATTTATATACAAATATTGGATTAGACCAGCGTATTCTTGGCTTAGGACACAATAGCGTTCATAATGGATGAATAAAAAGTATACACAGATTGCTAAAGAAAATGTAGATTTTTCGAAGGATTCTCTCCTTTTTTTGTTAGACGAAATCCTCCGAAATAATCCTCTGAGCTGAACATGGATTGCGACAATCTTTCAGGGCACAAATGAATGAAATAAGCCTATAAATTGTACCACACCTCCAAAGTACGGGCACCTCAATTTCGGGTGTACGTTTGTTCGCCACCGAGCACTATCCAAATTGAATGACATTCCATTTGCATAACCATTAAGAATTGTTTGTTTACGTCTTGACCTAAGGGCACTGGGCTTTCGGTACATTGAATATTGATTTTTAACAGGTATTTACGGATTAAAATTCCACGTTATTTTACAAATAGAATCTTCATTTACATAACTTAAAGTTTCATGTATAATGTTTATACAATAAAAAAGTTGATCAAAGGGAGATTATCCAAAGGTCTTGGGGTGAGATTCAAAATTATATAAAATAAATCAATCAGTGGCGCTACCCTGATTTTCGTAAATGTTTGTTTAATGATCATTTGTCAATCTAATAGGCAAGTAGGTGATCCGCCTCTTGTGACACACGCCGTCGACTGTTGGATATAAGGCAAGCATGAATCTTGATAAAGGTTTTATTGACGTTCTAGTGTCAACGAATCTCGAATGTCAAAATCCAACACTTCATACTTGTAGTCACTCGAAGTCGAACATAGTCGGTGCCAAGTTCATGCAAAGCAATGTTGATGGGCGACTTATTGCTATTTGCTATTTTAAAAGTGTACCGAGTGTTTTTTACGCCTGCTTTTTCTCTCGATAGATTCAAATTTAATGACGTGGAATAAGTGATACCTGTATCTTATGTTCCATAATAAACATATTTTATTTTAAGAATAGTAAAAATTTTTATTAAAGTATTTTTACTAAAAAAGTGTACTAAATGAAATAATAACTCTAAAATTAAAATTTCTCTTTTATTAGTTAAAACAACTTCTTTTGATATTAACATTATTTTCTCGTTGCAATTCTTAACTCTTTGTTTCTTGTAGTATATAAATATGCTACGACTACTTTATTACATTTATCTATCTTCATAGATTATTAAAAAGTTTTCTCTGTAATACCAAAAACAATAGAAGCCAGACGTAACGAATGTTGACAAGAACAATGTTTACGAATACGATTATTTACACTTGGCTAGGCGGCAATTCGGCTTAATAATCTTTGCGTAGAGATGTGGGGTCTCTCTGCATCGTCTACCGCAATTACCACGAAACGTGTTCAGAGTTGTTCGGATTAATACCTGCAGCTGAGATTCATCATCGGACGTCGAGGCAGAATACGAAATTCAACCCGTAACACCTCGACGTCCGGCATTCCACAACTGAGCGTTTTTTAAGGCAATATTGCCGCGCACTATCTGGAACCAGCTAAAGTATTTCCGAACTAATTCGACTTATCCTTCAATTCTTAAATTGCCGGAAATTCACTTGCGAGCCTGGCTATGTAAGTGTCTATGCCGCCGTATCACTTCACATCAGATGAGCAAGCAATAATTAATAAAAACAAAAATAAAATACTTACCATTTTGCATTTAAAAATTCGATGTTCCCATGAGAGTGAGCAGATGAAAAATTATCCAATAACATGCCACCACCATAAATCAGATATAATTCCGAAATTAAAATGTATCCTAACAAATCGATAACTACGAAGGGATTAACAATAGTTGATAGTTATTAATTTAGATATGGAGTGTTAATATAAGCCATTTACAAAACCAGATTAAGGCGATGAGGTCACGGCCGAAGACCTCTATTTAATCAAGTATGGCCGTTTGATAAATTTAAGGAAACGCACCATGGGCGCGTGCAATTGGAAATTATTAATCGATTTCATAACAATGCGTTTCGATTCACCTTAAATATGGTAGAATTTGTTATACATCACGCAGAAGAGGTAATAAAAATATTTTTTTTATGTAGAAAACGGGCTGAAGGCTCACATAATGTTAAGTGATACCCATGGACACTCACATTGCCAGAGGGCTTGCAAGTGAGTCACCTCCCTTTGAGGAATTGGAACGCTCTTTTCTTTCCTAAGTCGAATTGGTTCGGAAATACTTCAGTGTGCAACTTGTTCTGGCTTAAAAACGGCTAAGTTCATTTGTAGGCGCGTTTACACTTACATTGAGACGTTCCCGAGTTTCTAAGATTTAATATAGCAGCAATATTATATATTTTAGTAATTCTAAAACGGGAGTTCTTGACGATAAATGGCTTATAATCAACTTTATAAAAGAAATGATTGCCCTTATAAGCGAGGTCTAGGCATTTGTTTAATAAATAGTAAACATGGTTACAATATTATCGTAAGTTTTTGTTTTATATTGCCTGCTATTTATTTATAATAATGAATAGCATATAGCAATAGCAGTTATTATACAGCAACCATCGCGCAGCTTTGGCGCGAATCGTGACTTGTGTATGCTTTTTAATAACGATTGTTAGCCATCACTGATAGCTGTTAATGGTACAATAAAAACTATACGTGAGAATTGGGTAGATAATTAGGGTTGCCAGTTTTTTTAGACCTCACCTTACCTATGAATTGCACCACCGTATTCTTCAGATTTTGCCCCCAGCGACTGTTCCTGTTCTCGGATGGTCTCATGATGGTCGCTGGAAAATTGATGATGAAGAGGTAATCACTTAAAAATCGTACTATAAAATTTGTCTATCCATTCATCATATTATTCTATCTAAGAGATCTATGTAAGTCTATGAACTTTTCAGCCCACATATTACAAAGTTAAAAGTAACTTTAGACATCTTTAGACATATTTATCTTTGTGCCATGTTAGTTCTTAGTCATCAGTAGGTAATAGATAACTTAGATCATAGACAATGATATAGACTATAATGCGTGCGTTTGAGTTTTAACTGTTCACTTCAATTTTCTGTCAAAAATGTATTTATATTTATAGTGGTAGGGTCTGGCTAATGAAAGAAGATAACGAAAAAGCGCAGCAAATGCAAAAAAAAATTGTATGGTATCCCTTAAAGTTTGATATATTTTGTGGATTAAACTTACTTGATACTTGATTTTATTTTACATTGATAGTAACTGTATTTCTATGAAATTAAATACAATACATATTTAGTCTTTTACTATTGATACTAAAAATGACTAGCATTGCATGGAAAACTAAAACTATATTTATTATAAAACACAACTTTATTCGGAATCATCAAATCCTGCAAAAGAAACGAAATATTCTATCAAACTAATCAAAGTTTAGGCTATTATACCTGTTAACTATTCGGAAAAAATATATAATAGAAATAAAAATGAGTAATTGCATGAAGTATCAAGACAATAAATCATACTAACCTAAGAAATTCATTAGCCAAACTCTATCTATTTTCATTTTAAGTTTAGAAATTAAAATTGTGCTAGACTTGTTAATTTTAATTTAATCATCATTTTTAACTCAGAAGGTTATCATGACGTATCACTTCCGCATGACTCTAGTCTTGTCTATGACCTCGTACGCGCTCGTAAAACTATTATTCGCAAGTTAACATTGGGACAGATGTCTGACCGCCCTTGACTTCATAACACAAGTTACCTTATCTGTATTTTTTATTAAAAAAGAGGAAGAATAAATAGTACGTATGAGGTATGAGGAAAAGAGCGAGAGAGAGTGATTTAATCGTATTCCGAATACTAAATTCGCGGTAATAGATGGCGTTGATACCAACATTTAAGCTTATATGTCATATGTCAAATAGTCGTCTGTCAAGTTTGACAGTCTGTTGCTGCCGATCTTTGCAAATAACTTAATAATTTGCTTTGTAATCTATGTTATTTTCAAGATAAACACATATTTTCTATACATGGTACAGTTTACTATAGAAAAATGCCGTATATATATGCAAATTTATATAACTGTCATACAATATTAATCGACCGTGATTACGTGAAATGCTCCATTAATATTAAAGAAAATATAAAAACTCGGTTAGAATTGTATAATCGTATTACTGGCTTATATTAATGTGATGTAGCGTTTTGACAACCGTTTAAAAATAGAACGCCCCGACTCATTAAGCCCTCATGAAGCAGAAATGGCTTCTGGCACTTCAGACAAAGTTTTCACATACATATATCTAAATAAGACCAGTTTTAGAGGCTCAAATGATCTATGGTTACCATTTTTTACTCCCAATAAATAAAATCATACTATAAGTATTAATTACTTAAATAAAAGTTGTCTGGAAGAAGTCGATCGAAAGCAAGAAAACCGCCAGTTCCCCTCCTTTTCGAAGTGTTAATAAATAAATAAAAAAATGTTTTTCTTTATTTCAAACTGACACTGATAAGGAAAGAATACACGACAGCTATTTACTTATAAATCATCGTCTTCTAAATCATTGCAAAACTCTAAATAGTTAAATTAGGAAGTTAAGTATATGCGTAACTGAAAGCAAATGTTCAATGTTAAAATTTCATTTGGGAATCTGAAAGCTATAGATTTAAAATACAGTACAAATAATATTGATTTCGTCTGAAGCACCCGCTCAAGTATAAAAAGAAGAAATGGAGCCAAACGATCGTGTCCGCGTCCCATCGCCACACCGTTCTATATTTGAATTTGACAAGTCAATCCAATTTTGTCTCTGGTTTTTTTAGCCGCCATGTTTGTATTCTTGCATTATGTAACGGTAATATTTTAAGCATATCTAGACAAGCTTTCAGTTAATTGTTACTATGTGACAGATTTACGGGTTCTGTGAAAGATAATTTGTCTATGATATATCATATAAAACCAAGTAGCCCGTTACGTAAAGTTGATAGAGGACTTAATTATGTAAGTAATTTTAAAGTATTTTGAAATTGTCTTTATCACATTGTCGACATACATTTACTAAATTGGTTTTCGACATATGTATTATTATATCAGCGTTCTGTTCTTACTGATCAGTAACAATGGTTATTTTAAATCGAAACTAGTTGATATATCATGCATTTTAAACTCAATGTTTGAAAAAAATCACGCCTTTTCCAAATAATCTTTTGCGAAATAATAATTCCTTGGATTAATATTTCTTATGAATATAAAAATTTAAAATCCACCATAAGCGGATATAACATGAATGGCTTGAAGAATTTACGACACGTGTAAAAACAATTTATAAAGCGTAACCGAGATCCGAGAACGAAAAAAATTAAATACGTCTGAGCAGTATAATATATGAATGAAATGATTACATACTTACAATGTTGTTTGTTGTTTTTTTGTCTCCTAAGACATTGCGTATTTCAGTTTCAACGCTCTTTGGCTAGATTGCTTCGCTGGGAATCAAACCAACGAACAATTTAATTAACAAGCTTTGAAGCTTATAATGAATTTTTTTTGTCTAAAGCTTCTTCGCGGAGTGATACATTCGCACAAGACTTTTAAAGCTCTCTCTAATTACGTTAAAATCATATTCTACTAGCTTTACCCCCCGATTTTAAATTAATAGTAGCATGATGTATGTAGAGATATACCCGAGAATATATAGATGTATATAATAATAATAATAATAATAAAAACTTTATTGATGACAAAAGGGTTGTGATATATGAGCAGTGTTGGACTAGTGGCATCAGCGTGCGACTCTCATCCCTGAAGTTATAGGTTCAATCCCCGGCTGTGCTGGACTTTCTTTTTTGCGAACGGTTAACTGAAAACATCGTGAGGTAACTGGCTGGCCAGCTGATCAGCTACTTGCCTATTAGATTGACAAATGATCATGAACGATACACAAATCTGAGTAAAAACGTTGTGGCGCCACTGATTTATATTTATTTTATACACCTGAGAATAGCGCAAACTTTATTTTTATTAATAATATATTTAAGATAAACATCTGTTCTAATTAACTAGAAGTAATTTATTAACAACTTATATGATAATAGATTACGTAGATAAAAATAATATAGTACACTTTAGGCTAGACAACCTAGGGTTCAACTAACTTATAATTATCTAATTAAAGTCATTTGTAAGCGCGATACAAGGTTATATGTTATATCGCTTTGTAAAAACATTATTATTTCAGACAAAGTTTTTAATTGTTTCTTCATTGCTGCATATGTTAGTGTAAATGTAAAACGATTTTTATGTTATTAATAGCTGTTCGCGAACGTCGCCTTAATATGATTTTACTTAGCCTAACTTTTTAGTAGCGACATACTTAACATATGGAACATTTTGCCATGCTACCCCATAATACGCTTTTCCGAAATTAAAACTGCTGTATAAGCTTCTCCCTGCAATTTTTCTCTTCATAAAAACTTTCCTCAGAGTTCTTTACTTGGTATTTTTTTACTTAAAAGAGTTCCCAAATCTTACACATTATAATGACTTGTTGTTAAATGAATGAAAACGATTTTATTTATTTATTTTACATTTAAATAATTTTTACATTACTTGATATGGCGATGCTTTGTACATCTTATTACGACATCATTCATTTAAATACAACTAGAATTTTTTGTCATGTATTTTATTTATTTATTTATTAGCACTTCGTTGCATTACAACATGAAATTTTAACATAATTAAATGAAAAGGAGGGCAACTGGCGGCCTTATCGCTTTCAAGCGATCTCTTCTAGGCAACCACTGTGAGAAAAGAAAAAAATGTGCTGAATTATATATTTTATACATTTTTATAAAATACTAGATGGCCTGGCGAACATCGTACCGCCTAATAGTCGATTCTTTATTTGTTTTAAATACTTATTCTGCTATTCGGGACACCGGTCTAGCTAGTACGATAAAAAAAAGAAAATTGATAAGACAACAAATACATTATGTCAAAAAATAAAATTTTTACCTTCCCGGAACCCCTCCACTAACACTTGAACTTTATATGGTATTAAAGTTCAAATTGACTTTTAAGTATTATTACGAATATTTTGTATGGGAATATAGAAAAGTGTTGTTTTTAGACTTTTTCACTCAATTTTTTTTAATTTTTTTTTCCGTAAGAACCACCTCAAGGAATATTATAAAAAAGAATTGGCCAAATTGGTCCAGGCGTTGTTGAGTTATGCGCTTACCAACACATTTTGTGATTCATTTTTATATTATAGATTATTATAGTAATAAATAAAATATTATTTGAAATATATTATTATGACCACATATATCCTATATTCTTAACAAAGTTGCGTTATTCTTATAACATTCGGATTCCTACTAACTCATGAATTATAATATTACTAGCAACGGATCATTACAATATTCTAATAATTTATAAATTGATTTTCCTTGGAAAATATAGGTATTATGTACAGTCAAGGAAACGGGCTAATTATGTGTGGCGCCTAGTAAATGACACAGGCCTGTCATTGCATTCAAGGCGCTTCTATTTGTATATTGTTTATATTAGGCAAATAAATGAATTGCGTTCGTCTATTACCTCTTAACGAATATATAATAATAATAATCGGCATGGCAATCTCGCTCTTACAACTTGATTACTAACATCGATGAAAAATTGATGTGTTCAACAGTCAAGTTACCGTAACTTTGTTTATCATGCTCTTAATGAGGTTTAAGTTTTCATTTAGTTTTGGTTATTATTATTATTTTTTCTTTGATAGATTGCTTATGTTTTAATATAATTGATGTGTATGTGTGTTAAATTTGTGATGTCATAATTTCTTCTATTTTTTAGGCATGTAACACATTGTTTTAAAATGACAGAACGTATAAATAAATAAAAATTTCTTGACACGTTTAGGCAACATCTGGAAGAAAAGAGGAATTGGTAGCAAAACCATAATAAGACTGATACGGGCTCTAGTGTTCCCTATCTTCCTGTATGGAGTAGATACTGGCTGGCTCGAGAAAGGTAAAGGATCGATGCCTTTGAGATGTGGTGCTGGCGGCGAATGCTCAGACTTGGGCTGCCGATTAAGAGAGATTTCCTCTTAATCAGAATTGTTCGTGGACCTGCAGCTGAGTTTCATCACCGGACGTTGAGGCAGAATAAGAAATTCCACCCGTATCATCGCGACGTCCGTCGTTCCACAGCTGAGCGTTTTTAGTGGAGTTTGCTCATTGTAGGATCTCCGAACCAATTCGACTTACGGTATTTCAAGAAAAGAGCGTAGGTACCAATCCTTAAAAGGCAGGCAACGCACTCACGAGCCCTCTGGCATTGATATGGCGGTATTTAAAAAAAAATCTAAAAAGACATCAAATATTTTCCAGCTAGAAGCAGTATTTGTCGTTTTTAGTATTTATCATTATTATTTGTTTCCCTCCGTTAACTTTCTTAATTTATTTTTTGTTATTAATTACTTAAGATGTCTTCTGGAACATGATGTACCTAATGGTTGCAGGTCCATACAACATTTTGTGAAACAAAAAACTTGGCGATTAAAAAGAGTAGCGGAGAGTTTATTGGCAGTTCTTCTCGTCGGTTCTACGCCCTTGATTTGAGAACTGGCAGTAAATGTAAAATTAGAAGCATTTAATATGTATTTCTTTATTGACGTTCATAAGTGTACATTGCTCGCTGGGACAACACAAAAGGAGAGCAGGTGAAAAATAATAATGAGCTAAAAGTCATTCCTCTATCCTTGTTTTGTTTGATTGAGTCTTGACTCTTGGGAAATGGAGTGTTTACAGCTAATGAAAGATTTAAGTTGGCGCCTGGATAAGTACCACTGATGTTGTCTATTACTCCAGAGCTGGGGCTTTCCTTGCTCAGCTGAAAGCATGCTCAAGCATGAAAATACGTTCTCTCATTCTCATATGGACTCTTTGAAATTTATTTTAGTGTTTTTCTTCATTACTATTTTTATCTACAACATAAGTTAACCAATTTATTATTTATAGTATATTTCACGACGGCGAAGGCCAAGGTTGTTTGCGATACCAAGGGCCAGAACCAGTCTGTTGCACAGATCCCCGGTATCAAAGACGTTGCGCCTACTGAATGCTGTTTCCGACACTATCGACATGTTCGCAGAGTGAATTCACAGTAGCGATACTGTGTATATTATGTGTTTAATATTATATATTATTTTTTCTCGACATTATCGTATTGGCATAATCTGTAATGTATTTCTGTGTATGTATTTCTGTATATAAATTTTAAATAAAAAAGTTTATTAAGCGTTCTTGTCACATCATTATAACGGATCTAAGTGAGTAATACGTTTCCACTAAATCCTATTTACTATATTGTATTGTTTCCACAGATGGAGATTGCAATCAAAATAATAAATAATACTTGTCATGGTAATAATATGCCTAATCGTGACTAGATTTACACTTACGTACACCAGAGCCGTACTAAGTTACAATTACAAATAAAACGATTGAATACCTTTGGTAAAATTTTGTAGTAGACGGCAGATAACTTAAGTGATCAACATGTGTTGCCGGTCTTTTTAAATATTGGTTTGCTTTTTTGTTGATTTTATTTAGCACTAACTAGTAATATACTCCCTACAGTGCGACAACGTGGTATAAACTATACAAGAAGAATTATTTCATAATCCTACAGCAAATATAAATGATATCTAACAAGAAACAATTATATTAAAGATAAAGCCTAAGATGGAATTCATATTATATACAAAAAGTTATTTTAACGAAAGAATAAAATTAATAAAAATTATATTATTTAACATTTAACTTAGTAATACCTAATTGTGCTGTGTGATGGTGTGAAAGTGAGGGTGTGCTCATGATGCAAGTGATTTAGCTATGGATATTCATAATACTCCGCGATAGCTTAAACAAGTCAACGCTTGAATAGTGGTCCGGACTGCGCGATACAAAACTGAGTTTTTTTGCTTAGTTGGTGTTGATGTGAGGAAGGTGAAACAAAGCACGTTCACGATAATTACTGATTAGGATTGTTCTTTCTATAGGAACTCACATGGGAAGGGCTACCTATGATAAGCTCCAGTACAGTTACTTTCCACGAATTATATCCAATTTATTAAGACATCTCCAGAATTGTAAAAAAACTTTAACAGCAATTATTCTATGGATATGTTCAGATATATGTTAAATAACACTTTGTTTGAAGCTGGGTAACAACTGGCTTTAATTGTTTAAAACATGAGCTTATAACTAAGATAACATTAGGGATTGTGACACTTATGTTATTGGACATTATCGGAAACGAGAATGTTAAATTACAATTTATGAGTGTGGTAAAAACTAAAGGGCTCATATTGGCTTCAAATATGCGATGATTGTTTAATTATTAACTAAAATATATATATGTAACTTAACTAATAGATTACATAACTAGCGAAAGATTGTTTTTATATTTTTGGAATGGATTTGCCATTAGAAATATAATCTTGGGGCTTAAATGGGCCAGGTTTAAATACAATTCTGAGATTCTAGAAATACCTGTATTAACAAACCGGAATACGAAATACCCAATTTTAATGTAAGACTAATAATTTTTTCGATGGTTCCAGAAAGTACACGACGAGCGACTAGACGCCAGAGTTGATTCAATGCTGGAAGAAGGCTTGGTCCAGGAGCTTTTGAACTTTCACGAGTGTCACAACAAACAAAGAATGAAAGATGGAAGGTATGTTCATAATTGTATACCATTAACGGACATTTACAGAAATAATAACATAAATAATCTGATAGGTATTCAGGATATTTTTAAAGCTTTAGATTCAATTTAACACCTTTATGTTATTAACAATTGAATTTGTTATATATTGGTAAAACTCGGTTTGAGGCGGTCGGCTTATTTGAAAATATCGAATATCTAATAGCCCTTAAAAGGTAAACAAAGATGGCGACCGGGCAACGTCCTCAGAAGTGTATCTGCGGTTTCATCCACGCTCATATGACATACGTCTATTTATATAGAGAATCGTTTTGGTACTTTTTGGAAACTATAATAATATCCAGTTTGTTTTAATGTAATATATATGTAACATATTTAATTATGAACATTGAAATCCGATGAAAATAATATTAATATATTTATGAACTGATGGTAAGTTTTGAATTATATCCTATATAGATAGAATATAGGATCCCTACTAAAACTACAATATTGTAACCCAAGGTGTAAAAAAATGCCTATAAAATATCTATCATCGCATGCGCTGCGAAAACGATTGATGATAGAACAAAAAAATGTTCCACAATATTAAAGAACATATCAATATCTACAATTTTTTTTAAATAAATGTCCATCCGTCCGAAGCCTAGTGTACTAATATAATCGTAAAAATAATAGTTTAATTAAAGTATCAAAATGAACAAATTACACAATCTGTACCCCTCCAGAAAATACTAGTAGTAACCGCAAAATCTTTCCCGTCACACGCGGTAAGCGGTTGCACCCTCTTCTTAGGTAACATTCAATATTCACGTATAACAAAATCAACTCTAAACAAAAATATAGCTTTTCCCTGTTGCCAATCGTTCTTATTATATTTTTTATGTGTATTTAGATACATAGGAAGATATTATGTTTCGTGGTCATTTTGATCTTTATAGACAAGTAAATGGTATACCTTATTTTAATTGAAGGAATCGAAAAATGACTGTGTGTCGAAAAGGAATCCATAAGTTCTCCATTATTATTTATTAGAATGGGCCCTGTCGAATCTAATTAATTTACGATCTCTGTATGACATATATTGCAATAATAGTTTAATGGTATGCTGGTCACCAGCCTGGTACCACTGGACTTCTATAGTCCTTTTTTAGGCACCAGCTTCCCATATAGATTGAGAGGTATTGACCATATCTGCAGTATGTAAACCCGTAAAATGCAATATTGTGAAGAGGCAAATAAATTGTATTTTAACGGGGACAACTCTTTTGGATTTTCTTCTTCATTAATCATCTTTATTTAAGCAAGTAATTCGTGACGCTTTGGGGCGGACGCTAAGTCATACCGATTTCTTTACGATGTTTCCATCGAACAAAGGGTAAATTGCGCACAAAGACTGGAAAATCTGTTACACAGCTGGAATACAAACGCACGTTTTTGAGAATCGCACATATCTATTTATTTCGTATTTTTGAAGTGAAACTTCTTTATCGGGGTTGGAAAAAATTTTAGTGTAACATTTTTGCGTTACGCGTCACATTTTTCCGTTACGCGTCATGTTGCTTTTTAAAGTCAAACTTCTTTATATTATCGGCGTTAAAATATGACATATAGTATGTTTTTGACTTTGAAGTTTGACAACGGATTACATTTTCGAAGTCAAACTTCTTTATCGGCGTTAAAATATGACATATAGTATGTTTTTGACTTTGAAGTTTGACAACGGATTACATTTTCGACTTGAAATTTGCTAATCGCAATTTGCAGCAATTAATTTGTAAATTGTATGCTAGGCAGTGTATCAAAATTTACTGTGTTTAAAGAAATAGTTTCGGACCTCTAAACTTAAAACAAACCAATTATGGCTCTGCATACAACAAAGGTTTTATATAAGTTTCACTTCTTACGTGTGTACACCTAGTACACTCACACATTTTTTAATACAGCTAACAAAAATACATATAAAAATAAACAATTACACTAAAAAGGGAATACAAAAATATTAACAAAAGGGAAAAAACAATAAAAATTATTCAATACATTTAACTAAGTAACTAATTTGGCTGTGTTGTGTGATGGTGTAAAAGTGAGGGTAAGTGAAGGTGTGTATGTGGGGTATGCTCATGATGCAGGTGATTTTGCGATATGTATATTCTTAATCCTACTTTTAACCATATTCCGCGATAGCTTAAACAAGTCAAGGCTTAATGATTGGTCGTTGTATGTCCGGGCTGCGCGATACAAAACTGAGTTTTTTAATAGTTGGTGTTGATGTGAGGAACATGAAACAAATGCTAACGATGACTCGATTATAAATAGAAAGATATATGTACGTTTCAAATCATTCATTTTCAACAAGCCTGTATAAATCGGCTAACTCCCAATCTATTTCGATTTACGACAAAAAGTAAAAACGAATATGTCTAGCGTCTAACAATGTTCAAAAAACTCAAAAGTCATTCATCAACACAAAAAACGGGTCGTCGAAGCGAGTGTGAGACAAGATGTGTTTTTGCCGTTCATTCAAACTAAATTTTACCGTAGTTATTCAGTATCAGTCACGTATACAAATAAACGAACTTTCCTAAAAATTTAGTTTAAGCTTTTTAAGATTAGATTACATTATAAACTTCAGGAACGAAATGAAAAATATTATTCGGCCATGGATATGCAATGCTTACATCCTAATAGCATATTACATTATATACAAATACAGAATATTTATAGTAACGAAACTCTAAATAAATAAATAAATTTCGAATTAATAATTAACTGAACTGATTATGATAGTCTAAATACATTTTCTCGCCCACATATGATTTATTTTATAACTTAAAGGATTTTCTTATCAAGTCTTTATGATTTCTAAAATAACCATTAGATATACAATCCGGACGTAATTGGAATGCCATTCAATAACTCATAGTTTATGTCTATAAATTATTAAATAATCAACATGACATTAATAATCAAAAATCGATCAAAAATCGATATATTCCAATCTCAGAATGTCAAGTACAATATCAAAGTTCAATGAACTCTTATGTAATTTTAACTCGGTAATTGCGTATTAAAATCACGGTTGCGTAGTTTTATCTTGTCGGATTTTTTGTCGACTTAATATATTTAGGTGGGCCTCTGACTCGGCGAGTTTATAGTAGAGTTTATAGAAGCGTGTATATTTCAATGAAATTTTAAATAAATCATTATGTTGTTAATGATGTCTCTTTTGCCATTTTTTTCTCAGTCTTTTTAAGTTTTATTAGAAAATAATTATGTGTGGAGATATGTATATTATTGTAACGAATATGTATAAATTCGTTCCTTTTCAAATTAAACTGAAGGATATTTGATAATCATCAGCAAATTTTTATATGTTCCAGTCCCCCAGACTACACGAAAGGCGTTTATCAAACATTGGGTTTTAAAGAATTTCATGATTACTTAATACTTCCTGAAGATGGCAAAAATAGTGACGAAGGAAGGAAACTATTGCAGCATAGTATAGAAAATATGAAAATTGCTACGAGGAGATATGCTAGACGCCAGAATAAAATGGTTCGAGGTAGATTTTTAGAAATACCACGGCGAGAGGTAATTGTTATATTTAAATACCGCCCTCAAGTATCGAGTAGCTGAACTAATGTAATAGAATATACTTTCGTGTACTACCTCTGAAAGCTTTATAATGCAGCAATAGATGGCGTTGATGTATAAAAATATTTTTATTATTTTAAAATATGTAAAATCGATTGCAAATATCGAAAACAAGATAACTAATGTTCAAATTAAAAATAAAATTATTGCTTTAAGTCATAACTAAAAAGTTGGATTTCAAATTTTTTAGTCTCATTTATTTACTTCTAAATTATACATGGAGATCACACTATAAACAAGAGCTTTTTAAACACTTGTTTTTATTAATTTAAACATCTACTTTTTTTTATCTTGTTTAATCTTTTTCTCAAACATTTATTCCAGGTCCCACCCATTTATGAACTGGACACAACTGACCTGAGCAAATGGAATGAAGACGTCAAGAACAAAGCTATTGATATTATAGAAAGCTATTTAAATGAATCTGTATGTAATGTTGAACCATTGAAACCTCAACAGCATGATGAGAAAGTAAAAATTGATGGACATTCTTGTAATTATTGTGAGGTTTGTGAAAGATTAATTATTGGTGACAAGGAGTATTCCATACATTTAACTTCCAATAGACACAAGAAAGTACTCAAGAAAAAAATACAACTAGCTGAAAAAAAATTAGATGAAACTTCTCAATAATTATCAATATTTTACTCAGTTAACTATTGGTGTTTATATAATAATTTTTAATTCATTAATTTAAAACCATTCAAGCTAATTTCAGGTGCAAAATAGAAGCTATCCTGTTTTTATTTTTATTTATGTATTAAATAAGGTGTAAAAGATGTTTTGTTAATAAAGAAAAACAATTATTAAGAGTCAATTTTTTTATATTTACAAACAAAACTAAATAACCATTTCAACTCTACTCTACTAAAATTATTTCTTCATTTGAAGCCGGGATTTTTGGTTTTTTAGGTGCCCTGTAGTCATACTTTTCAAATTCTGGATATTTCTTAATTATTTCACTGTAAGCATCACAAATTCTTGAAAATTCGCCATTGGCAATTTGAAATGGACGAGTAACTGGGTCCACCTCAGCCATTTTGTACATTCTCCTAACCATTTCTTCTCTTGAATCTTCAGGAAACAGGGTTTCAGCTCCACGTAAGGAATACTTTTGTCTCATGGAGAAAATTTGGCGTACAACCTTTTCAACTAGCTTAAAAGGTTGATTCATTATTGGGTGTTTCAACGGTGTAAGAGTTACAACGCCAACATCAACATCGGGTTTGGGGAGAAAGGCATCTCCGGAAATATCAAATTTATAATTAACAGTACACCAACTTTGACACATGACAGATAATCTACATCTTTGCTTATCTAGTATCCGGGCAGCCATCCTTTCAGCAACTTCCTTTTGAAATGTCAATGTCATTCTAGTTCGACCAAGTTCCCATGGACCTTCTTGTCTGGATATCATCTCCAGCCACCTAATCATCAAAATCGTTGATACACTGAATGGTAAATTACCTATTAGATGAACCGGTGGAGGAGGATCATTCCAGCCCGTTTTTATATCTTTTGGAATGAAATGCGCAATGTTTGTTTTGAGTATGTCTCCCGTCACTATGTCTACATCTACATTATCTTTACAAGCATCAGCAAGAAGTTCTAACGACGGTAAGAAACGTGGATCCTTCTCGATTAATATAATTTTTCGAGGAGCCTGTTTAATGATTGATCTTGTAATACCTCCTGGGCCAGGGCCCACTTCACACACTACGTGATTATTAATGTTTCCAGCGGCGCGAACTATTTTATCAATTAATCTTGGCTCCATAAGAAAATTTTGAGATAACTCACGCAAGGCTCGTAATTTATATAACCTAATGATGTCTTTAATACTTGGTAGCGGCGGAAGCCTTATTTGCGCGATTTGTTTCGCTGCTGCCATTATTGTTGGACTTTTGCTGGCTCCTCAAAATCGTCCAAGAAAGTTTCTTGCTTAACAGCGAAGATGGAATACAAATAAATACCTAAAACTCCTGCTCCAATCGAAAAGCCCGTCATTCGATTACGTCTTCCCAATTGTTGCAGTTTTTGAACTCTTTCGCGATTCTTCTGCTCTATAATCTTCATGTAGTCTAATTCAGCTTTTTTTAATACTGGGTTTTGTTCGCCAGCAACAACTTTTGTCTTATAATTAGAATCTCCCATTACGATTTTTTTACACCTAACCTATTTGGTTACACAAATCACAATTTTATAAATTCGAGAGTAGGAACTGTCAAGTCTCGTAAATAACAAACAAGCAAAGCAGATAGAAAACCACAGACTACACTTGTCAATACGCTATAAAATACTTTGGCAAACGACAAAATCTTATTCTGTAATATTCAAAGAATTGCCAGCATCAGGAAAGGATAAAATATAGAACTTGCATTTCGAGAAAATCTCATTTATGAAATCACTATCTTGTCAGAATAATTTTTGGGATAACAATAATACGCTAGGATTTTTGTATCTTAGAAAGCATATATAGTAAGGAATAACGAAATCATCGTCAATCCATAAAAACTAGAGAAATGAACGAATGATTGATTCAGAAGCGTGTTTAAAATCTTTTACGTGTAGTCAGCTCTGTAAATCCTTAAATATTTTTGAAGGATTGGTAAAAACATCTATTATTAATATCTTTTTCTAATAATTTATTTATAAAATAACAAATGACTTTTACACCATCTTTTGGCACAATTGGAAATAGCACTGCAGAAAAAACAGCTGTTTGTGACATTTGCATCTCGGAAGAGCCATGCGCACATCTATCTCTTTCTAAACAAATTGTACCGTTCGCACATGTGTATTTTCTTCATGGAACTGCAATACCAATAATTCTCGTCTCGCTTTGTGGAAGTTTGCTCGTGTGTTTCGTTACGTTCACGGAACTTTGTGTATAATTAATAAATAAAATGCCTTTTATATCAAAAGACTGGCGTTCGCCTGGTGAAGTGTGGGTGAAAACGCAAGAAGGCTGGGAGAAGAAAAAGGTTCTCGAATGCACAACACAAAGGTAAGTGCGTGTTGCAAAACAAACTATCCTTTGTTCGAATATTAGCGACGCAACTAAGAGCACGAAGCATTTCCTCGAGTATTACTTAACTAATTTAATTTTTGCTTTCAATGCTTGTGATGTGTAGAAAACCATTTAACCTACCAGCTTTTTTGTATTGCAGATATGCCGCTATAACTAATTATAATAACCCAGATGATAAAGAACAAAAATGGTAAGTACACAATAATCATGTTTGGGCATTTCCTGTAAACATTCATCAGCTGTTTCGCTTATGTTATTGATTTTACAATTCGTTAGACCTACATAACAGCTGTGTGCACATCCTCTTACGAATATTTGTTATTCATTCGCATTTTTACTTTAATTATTTTATGCTATAATAAAATTACCTGACTTTCCTGGTTATATCCCCTCCAATTACAATATTCACCGATCTAATATTGTAATTAGAGTGTGTTAATTTTCTACTTACCGCTCTAGCAATTTTGATAAATGTTGTGATAATTAAGGAAAATATAGGCTAAACTATATTCTGATTCCACGTAGACGAAGTCGTGGGCCAATTAAAAAGAATAATATGTACTATGTTATGAGTTGCACTCCGCAAATTATATAAATTTTTGGTCTGGTTACATATTTATTATCCTTAATTTACAAGTTGCAAAATTGACTATGCAAAATACTCGTGCTCCATATCTAGTCAATAACAAGTCTTACTTATTGCGAGAGATTGTTTTTTCGTACGATTTCGATGAAATAACTACGTAACAAAATAAAAATTATCTATGGTGTGTGTATAAATTTTACGGAACATTTAGTAAAAAAGTACTCCATAAACTCTTAAATAGATTGCAGATGAAATTGCGATCTAGATGTAGGCTTGGTAAACATGAATGTAGGTCAGGCCAGATGAACCAACCCAGATCGGTAGATTGTTAGGAAATCAATTTGTTACTAATAGACCACAAGCCCATGAACAAAAAATACCTGTGAAATGACCCAACGTGAATTACGCTTAGAAGGCTGTTACTATATCTGAAAATAGCTCTGAGCACTATGCCGTCATTTCTGAGCGGTACATGTGAGTACGTGAGTGAATGGACTTTCTCATGTACAATGGGGGAATTTCGACTAATTATTAATGTACGGCTTTGTTATAAGTGTATAGATGATTAAAAATAAATGTCGAAAAACCTAGTGCCGTACAAAAGTGATGGTGCCGGAAGTCGGTGCAAATTTTTAATTCGACGACAGTTGCAGGAGCAATATAGGTCATTTATTACTGTACGGCATTTGTGTCATTCCTTTTGGACACATATACAGATACTTTACCCGTAAACGCCGTACATATTCCCAGCGGAGCGGTCGAAAGCCAAGGGTCGCAACATATGTCTGATTAGCATATAGGTGATGATGATATGAATCAACATAAAATTAAATGATCTTGAGAGTACTTCACAAATAGATAACATTTTCCAGCATGCCGTACATTTTTTGTGGAACACATAGGTGTATGGGGCAAATTACTTTTCTCAGAAAAGAGTCATTTTCCGGTGACTTTTATCTGTACGGCAATAACACAGGTTATTAATACTTTAGACAATCTTCAATAAAAGATAAATGCCGTACACTTTCGATAGTCCGCTACCACCGCTGACCAATACAGGGCGTCCCAAAGTTATGGGAAATGAAGGGAAAGTACCTTAAATATCGTAGATAGGGTATTTTACTAAAAGAAGACTTTATGTTATTTTTAAAAGTTATTAATTCTGCATTCAAAGATTTTTTAAAAATTACTTGCCTCGTCTGGGAATCGAACTGACTTAAATGTAAAAAAACACCCTACTTTTATGATGCCAATCGAAAGAATGGCCAAAAACTAATAACTCTTCTTAAGTAACATAGTATTTTAAAAGAAAGGAACAGCGTGAATATATCTTTTTAATCAAATTAAAAACATTATCTATCGTATTCGGCCTAAAAAAATCCCCTACGAGTCTGTTACTTTAGAAAAGTTATTAGGTTTTGGCCATTCTTTCGATTGGCATCATAAAAGTAGGGGTGTTTTTTTTTAATTTAAGCCGGTTCGATTTCCAGACGAGGCAAGTAGTTTTAAAAAAATCTTTGAATGCAGAATTACTAACTTTTATAAATAACATAAAGTCTTCTTTTAGTAAAATACCCTATCTGCGATATTTAAGGTACTTTCCCTTCATGTCTCATAACTTTGGGACCCTGTATTATATATATTTTTGTTAAAAATATTTTTCCTTTACCTCTCTCTGCTGGTACGATAAGGCTGTAAATATACTTTACAGCCTTATGGTAGTATACTCAGATATGTACAGTTATTAATGACCTTAAGGGACACCTCAAACGTCGTCGAAGTTTTTATCAGCTGTAAAGAATAATCTGGAGTAAAATGTACGGCATCTGGTTTTTTTTGTTTATTTATATTTGTTACATATAAAATAACAATAATCTTTGAAAATATTACTCCCCATATTACTCTAGGAGCATTTGAAAAGTCATCTAAATTTCGGAAATTTCATATATTTTTTATCATAATATTTTTATTTGTTACCATTTATAATGAACGGCTATAATGTACAACGGTAATATT